AAGGCGGGCAAGCGGGTGCTGGTCCTGGAGCAGCACGGGAAGCTGGGGGGCTGCTGTCACACCTTCAGCGAGAAGGGCTTCGAGTTCGACACTGGTACGGCCTCCAGGGTCCCAAATTTCCCCCTGGCTCAAAGTGGGGGGAAGAGGGGAGGGATGCCCGTAGTGGGAATCGCACCCGTAACGACCCAGATCGGGCATCCCCAGCAGGGTCTGCATGAGCGATGGGATATCACACACCTCCCCGCACCCCAAAATCCTCCTGCTGACGGACGAGGCACTGCCAGCCGCGCCCCATCGCCGTAACACCAAAACCCTGTACAATTCCCTGTATCCAGCTAAGCCCCTACAGAATTCCCCGTATAGGCGTTGTTATCTCCGGGCACGTTGTCCTCGGCAAACCCCTTCCAGCAAGACAAAGTCCAGCTCTGGATGTCTGTCAAGCTACCCAGGATTGATTATTTACAGCGATACAGAAAGGAGAAATATCAATGTGTTACCAAATTCCTGAAAGCTGCTTAAAAACACATCAGTGAGCACTTGGTTTTCCCTTTGACCTAAGTGGGAGCCGGGCGTTTCCTGGCCTTTCCCTTTCCCCTCCGTACGGAGCTGCCAGGGCTGGGGTGGAGAAATAAGAGGAGTGTCCTGTGCATCCCAGGGGTATGCGGCGGGGTGTGAAAAAAAGGAAAAACAACCCCAAAGACAACCAAAAATACATCCTCCAGGTATCCACTACGTGGGGCAGATGCAGGAGGGCTCCGTCATCCGCTTCATGGTGGACCAGCTGACGGAGGGGCAGCTGGAGTGGGCTCGGCTGCCAACCGTCTACGACGCCGTGGTTTTGGGGGAGCCTGGCAGCGGCAAGACGTATCGCATCTATTCAGGGAAGGAGGAATATTTCCAAGGCTTGAAGGAGCAGTTTCCCGGAGAGGCAGCTGCTATTGATGAGTTCAAGCGGCTGGTGAAGGTAGAGGGGGCTTCGGCTTCACCATGGGGATGGGATCAGGGGAGTTTTTTTGGCTATGATCCTTCTCTGTGGGCTCACACGAGGAGACAAAATTCCGCCCTCCCCAACACCCAGATATTGGGCAACTGTGGAGAATAACGGCGTTGCACAACCCGCCCCCGCCCGGTCCCAACAGCATTGGGAAACACGTCGAAAATCTCCCTTTTCTGCCTCAAACGCCCGGCGCCACACCCGGAGTTTGAACCCTGCTCCCCAAGGATGCTCGTGGTCCCACGGGATGCGCTGGGACCCCCATAAGCCCCGACACCTTCTCCGAGGGCCGTGAGACGATGCTCCAGGACCCC